CACTAAACACACTTCGGTGTGAATCATTACCATATGAGAACAATGACTAGACCATATTTTGTTTTTGCATGTTCGACGGTCCCAAAAAAAGACTCTTGTTTACGGATGCCTGATAATGGTGGTGAAATGAATGCTGTCCTCATACTGTACTTCTCACCGACATAGAAACGGTTCATGTCCCGATTTCGCTTCCCAAGGAAAATGCAAGTAGAAAATTATTTGCTACTTCTGTGAATAGATGAATTTTTATATCACAGACAATGGAAGCGGGTGAATCTTGTGGTTTACTTTTTATGTATGTGAGAGTTAGTCAGTAGCAGTTATTACTTTTTTATTGACATCTAGTTATTCGTTTCGATTTCCAGTTCTATCATCAAGCTAGACACGAAACAATGGATGAATCTTGGCCCTGTCTTCTTTATAATGTATCTTTGGGGCTCATCAAAGCGTCTTAAACATATTAAGAAAATAAATACAAATAAAAAACAAGTATTAGTGAGGCCATTCATATAATGGTATTAGAAACATAAAAAAATGTTATTTTGGAAGTGGTCTCCCAAACATACTTTAGATTTCAAATATACAAAAGCAATTATTTTTGGGTTCCTCTCTGGGGCTCTCTAACTTACCGATAAACAGTAATAAAAAAATGTATGTAAAATATATCTAAGACCTCCAGGTGAGGTCCCTAAACACACTACTGAGATAAAGAATTACAATTACAATTATTTTTGGAGACTTACATACCCAGGTTCTAAAAATGACGATTCTAAAACGGTAATTTTTGGGAGTTGCTGGGCGATCATCGACTAGTCGACCTGGCCTGTTGCTGCAACAGAAACCTAATTTTTGGCAGCACTATTGACAGTTGGAGTCAGAAGGGCAATCAGTCTTCTGTTTCTATTGGTTTTTAACATTTTAAAAACTTAAACTTATCTTCTTGGGTAGATGTGATTCTAGTTGTACCTGCTCGAGCTGTATCTCCATCTTCCTAGCGAATATAGTTTTATCCACTCCACTTTTTAATACCTTAAGTTAAAGTATTGCCTTAATTTATTTTTATTGCCTTATTAAAGCATTGCCCGCTTTGGCATTTTCAAGTCTAGCGGCAACAGTTTGAACCAGGAGTGCGAGGATTGAAATTTATTCATGGCGAACCAAAGGATTGAATGTCGACCTTCACACTCAGGTTAGAATAGATTAGGTTGTACCTCTAGAAGAGCTCCCTGTATTCAGGAAATGGCGAAGTACGGGATAAACGAAAAAAAAAATAGTTGAAAAAATAACTGTATTGCACATCAGGCACGGTAGTGCTGGAATAAAAAAATAGTTAAAAATTGAATATCATGTACGAATAAAAAAGATAAAATATATTGTATAAAATATCTAACCTCGCGACAATAGGTCTCATTTTTTCTATAAACATTTATTCTTCTTAAAAAAATACGAATCAGAATAAAAAGTTACTTTTTCTATTTTATTCAATTAAACACATACAAAAATTTAAATTATACAAATAACAAATGGTAGGAGGTCCAGCCAGGTTTCGATACGATGACTCTGCATCTAATAATAAGTAATTTCCTTTATATATTTTTTTTTCTTTTTTCAAGATTCGTTTTCGATTTTATTCTTATTCCACCAACATAAAATCATGCTACTAAATCTAAAAAGAAGAAAAATGCGTACATTAATTTAAATTAAAATTTATTCTGCATTAGCTTTGTACGTAGATCTCTTACGAGGCGCATCGTGAATTTTAAGAAGGTGAGAGGTAACAAATACATGAATTAAAGTAACTTTCAGGAACCACGATAAATTTATTTCGTGATGCAAAGTCCCGAACAGGGTCAACCATGCTTCGTTAAAATGGTTAATTAATTAGCTATTTCAATTAAACAACAGCTCTCTGATAGAGATCGAGAACCCCAAATACTGGCGAAGAACTTAATCGAAACTTTCATACCCTTAGTACCGAACGAACATCAACCTTAGTTTGAAACTATTGAACAAGAGTACATTTAAGTAATGGTAATAAGTATCTTTCATGTCTAACAATTTCTAAAGTTTAGTAAGGACGTTACATCATAAACATCCGAAATTAAATTATAATAAACATAAGAATAAAATTTCTTTGTTAAATAATAGAAGAGAATACTGAAACAAAATGTCCACATTAAACTGATTAATCATCGGTGGATGATAGTTGTAATAATTTTACAGTATAAATAGTTATACAAATTAAAATACCACTCTAATAAAATTCATTTAAGATAAATCAGAGCTTCACAACATAAATGGCAATTTAAGAAACTTAAACCAAAAAAAAATAAATAAAAAGACAAGCAAATCCAATCACACTAAAAGGGAGTTGAAGTGGTTTTGAAATTCATCTTAAGTGTGTCAAGAGAAACGTTTCTCACGTTAGTAATCACCATTGCAAGCGTGCGTCATCTCATTAAATCATCGCTATTTAATTCTCATCATATATATGCATATATATGTATGTAGTGTGTGTGTATAAAATTCCAGAGTATGCGAGATTGGATGTCATGGGGTGGTGGTCGGTTTCCTGTTCTCTTCTGTCCTGATAATGCATGAATAGGCGATTTTTTTTCCCTTCTGCATTTTGGAGATATAACCAAGCATAAGGCTGTATGGTTGGAATATTTCCAATTATAACATAATATATTTATATACATTGACGCTATATAAATATATAATGTAGACTGGTATTTACAACGAAAGAGATAGAGAGATAAGTAACTCCATCAATCCACTTCTCATTTTTTTTTTTCTATCGATCAAGAGCGATTTTTATTTCCTCTTTCGCATTAAACATTGATTTCTTCTTCATTTCTCGAAAACAACAGGTTTTCATTATTTGCACAGTTACCCAATAGGAATCGTAGGCCCAGACTTATGTGGAGTCTATAATATAAAGTATAGAAACATTAAAGGATTACATTTTAATATAAACAAATTTTCACTAAGATTAGTGCAAGAGTTTAGCTCAACAAGTTTTTAACTATGGGTAAAAAAAAATTATTACAACTCGTAGAAGATGGAAGAATCGGAAATTTCAATTTAATTTTCTACGGATATGAAATTTATCATGAATTTGTCAGGCAGGCTTTGTAGCTAGTAGTTTAAGTTGTGTGCAATAGGCCAGTTATTGCACAAAATATTTTATGTATATAATTCTTTATTCTAGTTCTAAACGTTAGTTTCAAGTTAAGACAGAACTGTCCCTCTGATAGGTTTTCTTAATAATTAATTCAATACTTAGATTTTTCGTAGAAGTGAGTGAGATAATGACTTTGAAACTGTTGATATCACTTATCAGATATCGCATACCGAAATTCATCGATTAGTGAGAGGATGTGTAGGACGTTCTTAACTCGACAACTTGTGACTCAACACCAAACGATATCAGGAGGCATATATCTCTTCCGGCGAATGTTTGCTATCGCTTATATGGCCAACCTTCATTATAAAATTTATAATTAAATATAATCACGAAAGAGTTTTGAGTTCAAAAATCTTGTTGGTTTTAAAAACATTTAAATATTGGGTTGGTAAATAAGTCTTTTCGGTTTTTCAGAGTGAAATAAACTCAATGTATTATAGCCATAACATTTATTTTAATCTACAATTATTTAACATGATTTTTTCCAATCTTTTCACTAACCGCATAATGCCATGTTCATAGAATGTCTGAATTCATTGTTAAAAAACTCATCCAAGTGGTTTTTGATGTTTGCTTACTTATGGAATTTCTTTTTATTCATGGAGTTCTGCGGAGAAGGGAATAAGCGGTAGTCACTTGAAGCTAGTTCTGGTGAATAGGGAGGATGGGACAAAAGGTCCCATCCTAGGCTCAATAATTTATTGCGACTGATCAATGAGGTGTGGGGTCTAACATTGTCTTGGTGGAACACAACACCCTTGCGATCATTTATAGCTCTTCAGGATGTCCTCCAAATTCGATGTTATTACACCAGTTGGAGAGCTGAATTATTGCTTTTCTGGTTTGAATTTTTTTTTTTTATTTAATGCCTACATAAGCAACAAATAAACAAGAACTCCTTACAGGTTTTTATTTTTTATCTCCATTTTAGTTGGTTTACGAACGTCCTCTTGATATCATTTTGTGCAGTTTATGTGGCCCTAAATCCCTGCTAAATTTCTTGTTAAGTCGTATTGAAGTTATAACATTTTTTGTGATTCTCGAAAAAAATCATGTGAGGGACCCAAATATTAAGTCTAAAAACATAGCCTAGCTTGTGCAAACGGTTTTCTACCGTTCTATTTTTAGGTGCGATATATATTTTGGGGCATAGCAATCTCTCGCACTGATTGGGTGGGATTTTGATCAACAATGACCTTAACATTGCTCGTTTCAATTTCATGTGGGTGACCAGACCGTTGAGCATCATTGATGTCAAAATTTCCTGAATGAAATTTGGCAAACCAATTTTGACAAGTGCGTTCGGTTAAGGCATCATCCCCATAAACACTGCAAATTTTTCTATGAGCTTCTACAGTATGCTTACCTTTTTTAAAATAATACAACAAAATATGCCGATAATGAATGATTATTTTCTTTCATATTCACAGTGCAATAGCAAACACAATACTAAGCTAGTTTTATTAAGAATTAACAGCTTATCAACTTAGGGATCAATTCATCAGATGAGAAGTTTATCATAGTGACATAAAAATTAACAGAAAAACCAAAAGGACTTATTTGCCAACAAAACAGTTTCGACCTTTATTTGTTTTGTTAACACAATACCACCCAAGACAATTTAGTATTTGCCAAAATTACATTCTCAGACTACGAATTAAAGAAAAAATCCCATTCTAATCGTGAAGAAAGAAATTCTCATTCTTTCCAAGGTATTGACATTTAAGCAGATCATATAAAAACAGAAGAGCTACCAGATTTCAAAATTCAAAACATGTTTGAGTAACAAATTGGTTTCATTTATCAGAGGATGCAAGAGTATCGTAATCAAAGGAAGTGCATTGTAGTGGAGGTTGGTGGGATACAGTTTTGCATTTCAGATTGTCGTGTTTATAAGGCTTCTCCCCAGCCAAACCGGTTTTGCCCCACTAGGTTGAGTCACTACCGGCGAGCTCGAAAGTTGCAAGACCAAGCTTTTACAGCGGATGCACGAATCGAAGGGTCATGAACAAAAAACAAGTGAAATAATTATTTTGATTGAATATACCCAATAGTATCCAACTGATACTAACTCAAATTATCTTGTTTATAAATAATCATTCTAGATACAAAAATTAATAAAGTAAAATTAAATAAATATATTTTATTTTTTCATGTATTTCATATTCATGTAAAAAGGCATGGTTCAATAACTCTATGAATTATATATATATATATATATATATATATATATATATATATATATATATATATATATATATATATATTTAGAGTTGATACTTCTTAATACCAAATTGGAAATTTGTTATACAATCTTTGTAATATGGAACGGGTGTGAGTTTTATTACTGACTATTAATTTTAATAACGGACCTGATAATTTTTAATGGAGAAGAAAATGTAAAGTTAATCGAATAGCAATGAAGTACAAGTAGTTGTGTCATCGCTATTTAATAGTTAAAAAATTAACTATTTACTTAATTTTCTTATTTGTTTATTTTAAAACACTTAAGAACATCACAAATTCTTTTATTACAGCAATAACATAAATAAATCGTGTCTACTTTTCATTAGAAGTATTATTTCCAAAACGCAGATATTAAACTGCTGGGTAATAAATCAGAGATAATGAAGTAGAAGTTGCTAGGAAATAAATTTCAATTTTATAACGTGAATAACTTAAAAACTCTAAATAAAAATATCCCTTGTATGGACAGATTTCACTTGAATTATGAACTAAAAATTGTTTAATGAAACTGCCAATCAATTATCCACTACATATATCACCTGTATATTTGCATGCTTACTGTTGATATTATAATTTTTTTTGTTTGTTTTTACAGATGAACATCAGATAACAGCCGTATAATATTTAAAAAATATATGCCTCAACTGCCAGTTGATAATTTCATTCCAAAACAGATAACTGAATAGTTTTCAATTCAATAGTTAAAAGTTAACTGCTAATCGCAATTAACTAATATGTGGGAGATACTCATTGAATTTATAATTGAAAATATAAAATAAAATACGTGAGAAAACAGATTTATCGAATGTAATTAAAATGTCAAGTTTTAAGTGCATTAATCACACAATAATCCATTTTCATGCATTACTGCTAATTCCTTCAAATGCTCAGTCCATATTCAGACCTAGAATCTAAAACTATTTAAGTAAGAAATTAACGTGGCGGAAAAAAAAGGGAGGAAGAATTAAGATAAATAATCTTAAAATCTCAAATGTGTTATGATAATGATTAGCTAACACAATTACAGATCAAAATAAAACAGATATTTATATTTAGCAGTAAATAGCCGCAATAAAATTCGGATGTGAATTTGTAGAAGAGAGCACAAGAGAAAAACAAAATAAACTGAGGATGGTTTTATATTAGTTATTTAGTATAATGCAAATGAACACAATAGTAAGTTATAATAATTTAATTTAACAGTTAGTGTGAATGAACTCACTGACTGCATCGCTATTATTGATGACTCTAGTTGTGTCAAAACTTATTCAATATATTATTCAATAAAGAAATGTTTAGTGAAAAAATAATCAATAATAGAGTTAATAATAAAAAATTAAATACGCATGCTAGAAAGAATCTTTTGTAAGTTTTCGAGGCTTAAAAGCAAGTGCGTTTAAACGTAAAGCGGCAGGTACATGTGGGATTTACCAGTCGAGTGAACCTAGACAGGTGCGGTGAGCACATGTCAGGTTGGATAGTACGTCAATATGGCATAGATATAGACGTTGTGCGACAATCAAATTTTGTTTGACTGTTTCTTTTAAAATTCATTTTAATTTAAAAAATTCTCAGGCGTACTCGATTAGCTAGGAAAAAAAAAATTAATGCAATTTGAAAAACAGGGGCCAAAACCCTTTTCGCGGCAAGAAAACTAAAATCGAACACTTTTGTGGTTTCAATACATGGACTAATTGGGACCTTTTTTATTTTTCACCTCTTCCTCGCCTTTAAAGCTATACGGTTTTTTTCCTGGCTAGGAGAGAGGCGGGGTATTAATGACAGTTAAATTAAAAGCCCCTGGCACTGAGATTCGAACTTGTAACATTGGGTAAATAGAGTTGCCGGGCCACTCCGCCCCTTAATAGCCCAAGGACCAGGGGTTGATATATACACTTCCGTAACTTACATTCAAATCTATGGATGAGGCCCAATACTTTTTGGGCCTTGGCTCCAGGGCTATAATAACTGAGACCTAGAGTTTAAAAAAATTCCTCAAAATACTTTAATAATGCTTTTGCATTATTTTAAATTCGAATGATTTTAATTTAAATTCTATTATTTTACTATATATATATATATATATATATTTTTTTTTAATTTATCCCACATGTAAAAATGAAAAGAAAGACTTTAAACAGGTAACTAGAAGAACTATTCTCAACAGCTCCCGGGTACGTTAACAACAAAACTTTGCAAAATCGATTTACGACAGCGAACTATCGACCACATAGGCACTTTTTTCCTGATTTCATATTAAACTAAACGGACAGAATGGAATTATAAACGACATAGCCACAACTGGCATGCCCATTAGGAGGCTACTGAAAAGGAGTTGTGTGAGATGATCTTTTCTAAATTAAGGAAGCAAATAAAGACCTAAAAGAAGTACCTTGTTTTCTTACACAAACCTAAAATGATATTTTCAAAATTCACTACAAAACACATCTGTTTCTTGTTAAATTTATGACAGGTGTGAATTATAATTTAAAGAGAAAAAAAAAACATTTTTTTGTTATATCTCTTCCTCAAATTGATATTACTGACCTTATATTATAGAATCCACGTTACGCAGTTTGAAAACATTGAGCACTACAGATCATCTTAACAGGCAACAATTTACTTAGATTTATTTTCGAATTGCTTGCGGTTTCTCTGTTGACGAGGAACTAATATAAATTGTGAAAAGCTATATCAGAAAATTGTATTTAAAAATAGCAAAAAATAAGGAGAGCATATTTTTTCTGTTTGTGACTATTTTTTATTTACTTAAATAAGAACCATTTTTAAAGTTTTCAACAATCATTTTTTTTTTTTATAATTCGGATTGGGTCCTTAATAAAATAAAACTATCAAAAGGGTTTAAATAAGATTTAATTAATTAATAAATCTGAACTCCCACAAAACTGAACACTATAAAGTTCATTTGTTTCAGCCAGTGATAGCGAAGTACCGTTCCTGGCGACAGTGGTTTCCTCCGACCGTACCGTTATCGTTGGATTGCTTCAAACATAATATCCGCACGGACTGTCTAGCCTAGGCTTAGACCATTATATCGAAGAACAAGGAGTCGCTATACAAAACTATTAAAAATTTATAATTGATAAACTAGATTCAATTAAGGTTTATTTATTTAAAGCATTTATTTCATAAACCAAATTGGATTGCCCGGTAAAAATAACGTAAACATTCTTAAATATCTATTTATTAATAAGTTTTCACACAAAATATATTCATGTTTATACAGAGTATCCTGTGAGTAGAGGAGTGCAGTTTATATGTATAGTTTATACAGAAAAAATTTACTTTATGATGATGGGTGCGGTCAAATAAATACTAAATATTTAAAAAATAGTATTTTTAATTTAATTTAAATGAAAGTAGAGTTTGCCTTTGTTTAAACTATTTAAGGAGAAATATTGAGCAGCTGAACAAAGGTAAGTTGTGTATTTTAAAAAATCTTAAAATTATAAGCGATTTTTTTTATCGTCATCCAATCAAACTACAAATATCCTACTTTTAGGAAAACAACCTCGTTAATTAAGCTTTAAGTCTAGTTAATTAAATTAAATCTATATTAAGTTAAGGTTTATTAGGAAAAAAACTTAAGATTTATTTCAAGTTGTGTAAAGAAATGATGTAATTTTTTATCCTGTCACTTAAAAATACCAGTGTTTTCATAAAACATTACTACAATTAACTGTTGCAAAGCTTTTATTTATTTATATATTTTTTCATGATCTAGAATGAACTATAATAAGAATAAAATATTTTTTCATTTCGAGTATAAAGAAAATACGATGGAAGTGGTTTCCATGAACTATAAGTTGCGGCTTGGAGGAATAATGCCATTTCAGAGCTGATTCGCAGACAAAAAAAATAAAATAAAAGATGTAACAAAACAAACGGAAATGAAAAAATATTGACATTGGACAACTTTCCTTCAAGCAATATGTGGTTTCATATTGAAAAACAATCAAACCCACTTTACTATAAATGTAAGAAGTACATTATTATACTAAAATAAAATATTTAATACAGCATAATTATTACCAGCATATAATTATTCTATGGGTTAAAATAACAGAATTCATGAAGAAATGAATTCCTGGAAGACAATCATGACAGCGATATGATGACATAACAAGCGATTTTTTTAAGCATAATTTTGAATGTAAATGGGTTGAATAAATAAACGGATTCGTTTACATTGACAACTGCTAGTAGCGCAATTCTACAGATATCTTAACTTATTCATGGTTTCTACCAATGTTGTTTATTAAACTTTTCGAATTTTTCAAGATTTTTTGGCAAGCAAAAATTTTCAACGATACGCAATAATGAATTAAAAATAAATTAATCAAAGCTATTCCTATAGTTTAGCTCAAAAGATTGTATGATTATATATATATATATATATATATATATATATATATTGATATATAAATATCAATACATAGAATCTCAATAAATACTTCAAATATGAAATAATACATTACATAAAATTTAGTAATACATAATATAAAATAAAAAATATATGAAATTTTTATGACATAAAAATTTTCTAAAGTAATTCATGAAGTAATACTGATGAATAAATCAATGATTTTCTTATGTCTATAATCAAACTCCAATCACATCAGGTTCTTTTTTAAATCTGTATTAAATGCCGTGCGTGCAGCCAAAAGCCATCCCGTTTAGCGCTCACGTAATTAGGACTCCGTTCAGAAGATATAAATTAACATTCACATTAAATTAGTCAGTGTAACAAAGGTAGTTTATTTTATCGATATACTTAACGGTGTGTTTTAATTATTAATTAATTATCACTTCGTTATTTTATTTAATAATCAAAACGTAAAATATAAATAAAAAACAGAAAAGGAAAGGTTTTCATATTAGTAAAAAATAATTGCTAAAATGATCATATTTTATATCGCGAACTGTAAACAAACGTTATACAAATAAAAATTAATTGATTTATGGAAATTATTAGATTGCATATTACTGGGCCTTTGAAGATTAGATTGCATGTTTATTCTGTTTCATTGGCCGTGGGGCGACCCTGGGTAGGTAGACCCTCCAGGGGCACACCCAGCCTCTATGAAGTGGGTACCCATAATTAAAATAATTAATCAAGGGGAAAAAACCAGGTGGTTGAGCGTGATCTCGGTCAAATCACCTTCTTGCACAATCGTAGACCAAAAAGCAGTGCTTTCCCTAAATAGTACTGAACCCAAGACCCTTCATGGGTTGTGATACAGATTTTTTTTTTTTATACTACTGGGACTGGTTGATACCAATAAGGAGAATAAGCCCTATACGTCAGCCACGTAGCCCTTTTTGCTAATTTACAAAAAGACAATACGAGTATAAATAGCTGTTAACGAATTATATTTATTTGTATTTTTTTTAATAGGGATTCAAGTTACTCTTATATATTGAAATACTCAGGTAATCAATGGCTGTAGTCATACGACCGAGAGGAAAGTATTTTTCGAATTTTCTTGAGGAGATGATGAAAATATTTAAATCAAATCTTTCAACAGTGCCTGCGTCAAGCGGGAATGTTCTCAACCTAAATTACTGGGAGAAAACTTTGCATACAATTTAAAGACAGGGAGTTTTTGTCAAGAGGTTTAAATTCAGCCAAACAGAAATTATTAACAGCTAGACAAAATGTTTCTATCAAAATAAGTTCAATCCGTGAACGAAAAGAAAAATATAATTGAATACTGAAGAACATAATTATTCATTTAGAATATACAAATGGATTAAGCGGTTGACTTGATATAAGTTTTTCAACCGACTTGGATTAGAACCATGAACATTCTTGAAAATGCATGGTGCGGTTACGAATGGGATAACGTTTCAAACGTGAAATCTCATCTGAGATAAGAGGAATAGAGATAATATCACAATGGAATAAGTGAGAGAAATAAAAGAAGGGAGTTAAGAGAACTATAATGGCACAGCTACGTTGCCAAAAATGATGAAGGATATTAGTTTAACTGGTATTTCAGGAAGGAAGAGATGGACGCCCGTACCAAAAGCGGTTTTAAGAGATTAAAGGGAGCTAAGGAAATATGGATATGGACCTTTACAAGCATCAGCGTCAACCTAACCTGCAATATTGCTGCGGCATTAAGAATGCGTCAGTTCATCGAGATTGTAACAGCTGAGAAATAATTCTGATTCTGCTGATGGCAGTTTAGAATCAACACAAACACTTAACAAGCATTTTTTCCTTTATTGTTATTTCGTCAACGACTCAAAGTGAGGCCACTGGGTTTGAAACACTTATTACATACCCAAAGCTACAATAACTGAACTATCTCTGAAAAATTGGTACAGGTAGTGATAAAAAAACAACTTAAGTGTGTGCTTTAGACCACACAACAGAAGTGAAAAAATCAACAAGGCGAGATTAATAATAGAGATACGAATTATAATTATCATTTATACTATTTCTCTTCTTGTTCTCACTGCATAACTTCTAAATACTCTACTTAAAATTTAAGATTTTTAAATTGGGTATGCGGTTCTATTATAAGCCCAGTATTTTTTAATTATTTTTATTACATATTTCAACTTGATATTGGTAAATAAATTTTGTACATCAAAAAAGACTAAACAATAATTACCTATTGCCTATTTTATTTATTCTTTCAAGCATTTGCTTCACCTCCATGGAGTTTTTTACATCACAGTTACTATCTGATTTTAGGTTATTGAGTGTGGGATTGAGATATTTAGCCATTTTTTTTTTCAATTTACCCATTGATATTACTGATGATATCACATGATATGGAGCACCACTTTTATGTAACATTACTCATCCATGCATTCGAGGTGTATTGTAGTTAGGGTAAATTGGTTTAATTCGTTTAATAAGAAATTTATAAAGTTAATAATAAATTTCTATTACATAGAATATAGAGACCAAAGCAAGTTCAACCTAAAAACGTCCTTAATGATTAATAACTTGCTTATTTAAATTAGTGATACTAGCTATTTATATGTTGTATCCAACGACTATATAATATTTATGTGGAAGTCTCCAGTTGGAAGGTTATGCAATGTCATATTATTATATATTTTCCATTCTGCCTAAGAATTTTTGCTATTATTATCATTTATATTATTTCTCTTCTCATTTTTTATATATTGTTAACAATGTTGTAAAAAAAAATTTTAAGGTGTAATAATATTAGCATTTTTACTATACATTAGCATAAACTCGTTATCATTTGGTTTTTGATACTATATTTTTCTCTCTACTACTCTCCAACGTTGGGTTAAGATACAATTTTAGCTTTTTACAAAGAAGATAAAATGCTGAACAATTTCCTCGCTTACGTATGAAGGCCCGATTTTTAGATTCTAAGGTATTTTAATCCATATGTAAAAGCATTCAATTAGGTGACTCTAGCCGACTTTACCCGAGCGTTAACACTTCGGAAATCTGACGGATCAATCTAATTCACTCTCCACAAAAAAGTGCAAAGCGCGCCAAAAGAGATTTTCACTTGAAAAAAAATTCATTAAAGCGTTTGGCACATCCTTAATTTCCACTTCTCCAGTACGGGATCATTTAAGAAATTTAGAAGACAGGAAACGCCTGTAATCCTCTATTTGTCATGATGGACAGCACTCTTCTCAAGTGTTCATCTCCTAGTTGAATGGCCTCTATGTCCAAGTGTGGGCGTGTTACATTTTTTTTTCTATTTATTAAACCCAACAAATGTATCATTTTTTTAAAAAAATTATTTAGATTTGTGACTAAGACAAATATAAAAAAAAATGTTTTAAGCCTTATGAAGAACATTTACTATAAATACCCACCTACTACATTTACTATAAATAACCACTATTATAACACTTAACGCAGTATCGAGGCAATCTTCGTTTTTGGAAACCTCGAAAGATTATCAAAAATAGATTAAGATGACAGGTAACAAATTATTATTTTTATGAGGCTACTGAGTTTGCAATTAAAGGAATATCAAAGTTTTAATGGATAATTGGTTGGATAAGGATTCTTCCAAAAATTTTGGATTATGTGGATAGGAATTTCATGGTTTCCCGAAGCATTTAATTCAACCAAGTAAGAACAAATGGACAAATTAAAGTAATACATACTTTATTTCTTTTTTTTATTCAAGTAATATATTTATAGCTATAAGTTGCGAACTGAAGGTTTTGAGAGTTTGTCCTATAAATGATGGCGTGATCGGAATCTACGAGAACTTTCTTGTCATTTCAATCGTAAATGAGAATTACATGTAACGCATATGTCATAATATAGTCCTCGATGCAGATCAGTTCAACTGCGATAAGTGAAGTATCCTGTAGGACACAAAGAATGACCTGGGTTTACAAGGATGGGTAAGAATGATGTAATAGTACATGTTGGAATTTATGTTAATGCTGCAGTTACTCAATGAATACAATGAAACCCTAGGATTTGGCAAGCAATGAGTTTTCTGAAAATTCAATAAGAAATGTGAATAATTAACATAAGATTGTTAAAAATCAAATAAAATAAAGAAAATAAATAAAAATATAGCCTAATCCTTGAATATATAACAACATGCAATTTGGAATATGAATCAAAGTGCCGCTAACGGAATACTGGCTAACGATATGATGACACTGAATAAGCCACGAGCCAAGAGGGCTATATATAGTTGGGTCTGGACGGACCAACCGAGTCTATTTCGACCATCTTCCAGGAGTCTGAGGCACCATCCACGAGCAAAGATCTTATCCATACAGGTTCGTCATTGTTCCCAATTGAAGATAAAAGCATGAACCTGACATGAATCCAATCCAACCATTATCAGCAATAATAAAATACATCTAGTATTTTTTTTAAACGAGCTGTAATAAAATTTAAAAAAAAAAATACATGGGTACAGAGGATTGGAATCGTTATATATTTTTAGAACAATTAAGAACATTTCAAGCATGTATAATTTATTTTTTTCCTGTTGCCATTAGAGACCATGTACATCTTTTGCCGCATTGACAAGCCTGCTCCATCTATGCCTGTCTTGGACTATTTCTTTCCAGTTATCTGCACGCAGCTCTATTACATCTTTGTTGATTTTATCTATCCATCTGCTGTTTGGCCTTCCATGTGGTCTTTTGCCTTCTGTTGAGCCATTCATTGTTACGGCTTCCAGATGGATTGCTACGACCTTCATGCCCTGCCCATCTTAATCTCCGTTCCTCCATACCATGGAATATTTATTGACCAGTTTCTGTAATCAGTTCTTTATTGGTCTTTGTTCTCCACTTCTCCAGTGTTAGTACTATGTTTCCAGGTTGCTCCGGTTATCGTGCGGAGGGCTTTTCTCTCAAATTTTTCAACTTTTTTTTCTAGTATCCAGGTGTCATAGCCATATATTAGAACTGGCTTTATCATAGCATTGTACATCCTTAATTTGAGAATATTGAATCAATATAAATTTTTTAAAAAACATGATTTCATTTATTAAGAAATAAATTAAGATCTATTACATAGCTTCCCCGATATAATAATTTCAACTTATAAGGTCAAATTAGCAAACAAATTAATGTAAATGATAACGAAGTTGATACAATTTCACTAAGAACCATGGCCAATGGTTATTTGATTAAATCAAGTATAAATTTAAATAATCGAATGCATGACAAAGACGAAAATACATCGATAAATTAAATTTTCAACCCTCATAAAGTAATGCAACGCTATCTTAGAGGATGAAGGAGAAAATATTAACAGAAGAGATTCCATAATAACAATAATAATGAACTTTATATCACTAAACTGACAATTAACAATTTATATATTAGTGAATCCGAATAACAGACGATAAAACAATTTTTGAACCACGATATATAAGTTTAAAATTTTTATCAATTTTGGGTGGTGACAGACGAAAATATGAACAAAAACTTGGACAAAATTATCACTCAATAAAATAAAACACCACCGTATTTTGGATAAAGTTACTAAGAAAATACCCCATACGATCTGTGAATATACATGCAGGCCCGGTAATTTATTCCATACTGCAGCAAACTATCACTTATTTAACGATAAAAGCATTCCAAAGACGTTGTCTCTTAATATTAATGTAACATACTTAAGCCTAAAACTTCTTTTTCAGGATACGTGATCCTCGCCGCAGGATTACAACTAGAGAGTAAGGGACAAAGAAAGCACAACCCTGGGCAGCAAAATTTAGAATTTTATATGGTTAAAAAAAAAAAAAAATTCCCGTTTGGTTGTTTTGGCCTTAATTCAGTTAATAAAATGAGACAACATTTATTTCGAAATATATTATTTATAATATAGTTATAAAATTATAATTCTTATAGTACGAAAATGCAGCTTGTTAACCTGTTAAAATCTTGGTTCTAGTTTGATTTAAATGCTTCGAAAATAGCTTTATTCATTAAATTCGAAAGACATCATCGTCTTCTTCTTCATTATAACGACAGTAAAGAATTACATATACAATACAATAAAAACAAATAGATATAAGTTGCTCTAATCTTTTTAAATGGTTCAGTATTTTTTGAGTCTGGACCTACATAGTAAATCTTTACTATATAGATCTGCTATTTAATTGCTACTTTTACTTTTGTGTTAAACATCCTGCCTAAGAGCACCGTAATTTTAATAGCGATAGAATTTCCTATACTCTAATCAAAGGTTAAGTATAAACCTTCGACATACTCAGCATTATTGTTAAATTTACTGACTTTTTTTTTTAATATTGCACCTGTGCAGATGTAAAGATAAGAGATAATTACAATTAATTCGATGTAAAATGATTTAATTATTAACGGATGTCAAAGTTATGTTATCAGAGTTAAAATAATAGTGGGTTAAAGTAAACAAAATGTGATGAAAAACAACTTTTAACGACTTATCAAATTTTCTTAAAAAATGAAGTAGGTGGTTGAAAGAAAATTGAATACATTTTTTAAATATAAAAACATGAGAGATATACACATAAATAAGGTATATTAGTAAGAGGACAAACTGAAAAAAATCTGCCACTAAGAACTGAAAAAAAGCCAAAGTTTATGAGATGGCGATCGAAACACATCTTTCTTAGAATAATTTAATAATAGAGGAGTGAATCACCATCTTAAAAGAATTAATCTCTAAGCTCCTCGTAATAATAAACTAA